TCAAAGTTCTTTTCCAGAGTTTTTTAGCAACGGAAAAAAGGTTCTGAATGCCATTACTGACAAGACTTCGATTATTCTAGAACATTTCAAAGTTTTCATTAAACATTGAATAGCTGGAATATGTTTGTGAATATGCAGAAAAAGAAATATATCTAAGATGTCAAGGATGATGATGCTTAATGATGTATTGATTTGTCACAGTCATCATATGATCAAGCTATAGCTTTAGGAAATAATTAGTATCAATTTTTGTGAGTTTATTGAAATAATTAATACTACATGAAGATCTTCTGTAGTTATAGTGAAGGTATATAAAAGGCTTATATATCAGTTAAATCGAAGGTAAGCGTAATAATAATGTAATATAGAAGACGAAAAAGAAAAATGACAAGTGAATAACAACAAGATCAAGTAAAACTAGAGCGCCAGTAAAAGAGAAAAAGAAAAAATTTCTGTCCGAAATTTAAAACTAAATAAGAAAGATCATTTCTTTAACGACCGATTGTCGTCGAAAGATAACTACAGTCTGCTAGACTTTTTTCACTTGGCATATTTTATATCAGTATGCTGAAACTAAAGAAAACGTATCACTTTCACTTTCCTTAGTCAAAGGGGCTGCACTGACAAATTTATTTTTGATTACATCACTATTAGCAAGATCTTCTACTTATTAAAAAACTTACTTTATCTCTTGATGATCGTTTATATTTACTAAGTTCTCTTCGCAAGCGATCGCGTTCTTCTTCAAGATTTTTTAATTGAATATCATATGAAGTAAAATCCTTTTAAAATAAAAAAAGAACTAAATGAAAGAAAAAACCATAAATATATCTTTTTTCTTATTACTTTTGTTGGTGATAATCGATTTCGATTAACTCCACAAACAGTACAACGTGTTGGTGATGTACTAGAACTTCTTGCTGATCGTTTACAAAGTTGTATAACAGGTGATGTTGCCATATCACGACGAACTGTTGAACGCATACCAGGCGTCGGTGATAATGAACGACCACGTAAACGTGTAGTGGATGGTGATGATGTTGATGATTTACCAAGTAAACGTTCATTAAGTAGTTTTTGTAAAATTTCTGTTTCATTTTTATACATATCACGTTCATCTTCAACATTTTTCAAATGAATATCAAGTCGAGCTGGAAGAGAAAGTTTTTTCGTTGATGAAGCACCAGATGCTGTTGGTGTTGGAGCTTTTGTTGTACGACGACATTTTTGTAATTCTTGTAAAAGATCTTTTTCTGTAAAAACAAAACAAGAAAGTTTAAATATAAAAGTATATAATATGTAAATCTTATTTTTTTTCTTTCTTTACCGTTAAGAACAAGTTTTGAAACTCGTCGACTTAATTTTGTTTTGTCAGATTGCATACGTTCAAGAAGTTCTTGTAGACGAAGAACTTCATTTTCACGTTCAGCATATTGATTCTTTAATGTTTCAAATTCTTCAATTAAATTCTTTTTCTCCTTTTTAAATACAAGAAAATAATATGTATTTTAAAATGAATAGCAAATCTCAAATCTCAAAAGTTAAATTGAGACTTTTTTAAAAGGTAATTTCACTCTACGATAGAAGCTCACTCTATTCAAACGAGTGCAAAATAGTTATGTAAATCATCGAATAGATTAGTCTATGGCTGTTGCATCCTAACGTTTTTGGTGTATCTAATTTTGTTGGTTCTATATGTTTTCTATTTATCAACAGAAGAAGTCTTCATTTAATAGTAAAAGGTTTACTTGATACTTCTACCACAATAGTTGAAATATGTTTCCTGGTATTTCTCGACTTTCCTAAGTTTCTAAGATGGGGTCACTTGACAGAGATGTTTTTTTTTTCAACTCCCTCAAAGCTCGATAATTGCTCAAACCAAAGTGTCGTTATATCCATATTTTAACGTATCTGTATTAAGATCCGTGACATATTGATGATAGATGAACTCATGAATGAGCAAAGTGTTGGCGTCAAGTTTTTTGTTCGCTAGTAATTATCAAAGTTTTGAGACAGTTTAAAAATTCCAATTTATAGAATCTTGTGCACTTCTATATTGGTAAGCAAATCAAATCATAGCTACAATACAGAAAGAATCCACTTCCAAACTCTTGACTTGCGAAACAAATTAGAAGCCAGTGGGTTATTACTCTGTGGGAGGTTTTTAGAAAAATTTAATTCTGATTTTATTTGAACAAGCCTTCGCTCTAAAACAAGTCTGATAGATTGACTTTTTGTTGGTTTCATACATGAATTTTATGGAGTTTGAATAAGCAATAAGTTCTACTAACTGTTAAACAATGTAGCAAAATCGTGAAATTTATAAGGAATATTAGATAACACGAAAAAAAAAATGCTTAAAAACTATTTGATTTTTATACATTTCTTAGTTTTTCTTTTTTAAACACGATTCGAAAAATGCATCATCAGATGAGTATTTACATGTCCTTGAAGTCATTCTGTTTCATCAAGATACAATTACATTTGATTGTTTGATATTATCGTGTTTGATTGAATATTTCCGACTTTATTCTATCTACTTTTTTAAACCTTCAATAATAAATTTGATGATACTCTCTGTCAATCGAGTAACTATAGAAAGTATTTAAGTTTCAATTTAAGTATGTCAACAAATGCACAACTGAATATAGAAGATGGAAATAAAAATACGTACAGAAGTTAAAGTAGCAACTCTAACATCGAGTGATTGCATTTCTCGAATATTATGTTGAATTTCCAGCTGGAAAAGAAAAAAAAAACAACCATATGAATGAACAAATTAAATTTTGAAAATATTTTCTACTTTAGCTTCATTTAATTCTCGATCAGCTGTTTCAACAGTATAATCTTTATCGGCTTGAACTTTTCTTGCAAGACGATCAAAATCTTTAAGATCTCGAAGAAGATCATTATTTCGAAGACGTTCTTCGAATTGTTTATCTGTTAAATTACGTTTAAGTTCAGTTAATTCTTGAACACGTTGTTCTAATATACGATTTCTTTCATGGAGAAAATCAATCTAAATTTATGCACAAACAAATTAAAAAAAAAAAAAGAAAAAATTTAATAAAATAAAAGAACAAAGACATTGATTTACTTGTGCATTTTGATTAGCAATAACCTTCTCATTACTTCTTAATCTTGATTCAAGTGAAAGAGCATCAGCAGAACGACCACCATCAAGTACACGATGAAGTCGTTCAATTTCACGATCACGATTTTCAACCTGCAAATTGACAAACAAATTTTAATATTAGAAACAAAAAGTAGAACAAAATTAAATCACATTTCAAAGTTTTCTTTAGACGTTTTTTTTTTTTGTTTCTCATTCCTAGATCAATAAATTTTCTATACAAACCTTATCAGCACTAGGCGCACGAAATGGATATGTTCCATTCAAACTCTTTTTTGATCGTGTTGTACAACGATTCGAGTAATTTGGATGACGGGACGACAATGCCGATGTCGTCATTCTCGAATTCGTATGATTATTTGGTAAATCAGTAACTTGTCCATTACGTCGTGAGGAGTACATATCTCCTACAGTGTTTATATTTCTCGTTTTATTTCGTCACACACAAATACCTGTACACCGGCGAATGTCTAATTCTCATTCGAAAACTTCCCTTATGGAACCTGTTGTAAGTTTTCTTCTTTCGTTCACCTTCGTTTTTTTCTTTTCTATGTATATAAATAAAACAAAATAATTGAAGAGAAAAAGAAAACGGATCGAAATTGTTTCTTTTTTGTTATTTTCTTTTTACTATCAATATTGTCATACATTGTAACTTGTGGTATGAAAAAAAAACAGAGCAATGAAAAGAAGCAAATTTTAATATGTTTTAAAAATAATGAAAGACAAAAAGTATGAGATTGAGAAGAAAGAGTGAAAGAAAATGAGATTGCTAAACAAAACAAAATTTTCATCTTCAATAAAAAATTGTATGCTATATGACATACGTTTGTCATTGTTATTCACACAAGATGTTGACCATGAAAGACACAGAAAATTGTGGCTTGCGGTGGCATAACAAAGAGAAAAAAAAGATGTGTATGCTTGTAACTGAAAAAATGAATCTATAAAATGTGTCAGTGCTCTAATCAACTGACTGTCTGAGACAAGTGTGTTTGTGTATGATAGCAAAAGAATAATGAACATTGTAAAGAATAAATATGAGTTTGATGTACATAGCATTTGCGCATTACGAAAGAAAGAAAAATGAAAATGAGTGATGATGTGGTTATACAAGTTGTATGAATTTGAAATGGTAGTTGATAAAGAATTTTTACTTCTTCGAACTATACATTCCATTAAGATTTACAACTTTTTTTTTTTTCGCACTTGAAATGAAAGACGAATGTATAGGCAATATGTGGTTAAAGCAAGAGATTGGCTTCTCTCGTTCTTTCTTCTTCTTCTCCTCCTCCGCTTCTTTCTAATGCATACAATGGTCATTGTACTTATTTGCGGTTTCCTCTAATTATAACAATCATTAAAAGTAATAGTAGCAAAAGAAAAAAAATTAGACTTATTTTCTATCATTAGAATAATCTGAGAAGTAATCATCTAAAACTTTCTCTATCAGTATCATGTGAAGAGAGACGAAATGTTTTTTTTTTCCAAAATCTAATCTATTGTATCAATAAACATCTAAAAAATATGATGCAATGTTACATCTACTATTCTTTTTTTTTTTTACCATTATCAGAACATTTTTCTTTCTCTTTTTCTTGTTATGTTTTTCGATGTTTAATATTATATAAGTCTACTTTAGTATAAATATTTGATTTCGTAATGCAAATCAATATTCTTCTGGTTTATCTCTTATTTTTATTATTATTTGTCTAAGTTATCAACAAGAAAAAAAAAACACTTTAATAAATTTTTAAGAAATCTAAAGTTTATTATTGTTATCATAGAGAAAAGAAAGAAAACTTATTTTCGATTAATTTATTTAAACAGAAAGATTATTCAACATGATTATTGTCTCTGTAATCAATCAATAGAATATATTTACCTGATATTTAAGATTAGCCATTTTTGTTTCAATTTCATCTGTATATTGTTTTTGTTGTTGTAATTCTAATTCTAATTCAGCAACACGATCTTCAGTAACTTTAACAATATCAATAATATATGGATCATCAACATAGGGTAATTGTTGAGCTAATGTTCGTTGTGATGATGATTCAGGTAACATTTCATCAATATCTAATCGTTGACGACGAAATGGTATTGTATGTTTATTTCCACCTAAATATTGAAGTTTTTGAGAAAAAAAAAGCAAAAGAAGAAAGTTTATGCTTTTTTTTGTACCTGGTGTTTGAACAACAGCTTGAAAATTTTTTTCTTGTAATTCTAATATTTTATTATCTTTTTGACGAGACTCTTTTTCTAATGAACGTAATCGATGAATATATTGTGTATTTAAAAAGCGTAGATCCGCATTTTCATGTTCTAATTTTCTTAATTGACTTTTAAACTCTATTTAAGAGTAATAAAAAAACAAACAAAAGATATCGAAATATTCGATAAAAAAAAAAAAACCTTTAACATGATGATCAAGTTGTTCACGACATTTAATTAATTCTAAATGAAGATCATTGTTTTCTTTAACAAGTCGAGCATTATCATTTTTATATGGATGAGTTGATGAAATTGTTGCTGATGTCGTTGTATTTGTTGATGGTACAGGAGCAGGTGGTAAAGATGGATTCTAATTAAAGAGAAGAAAAAAAAAAAAAAGGATAAATTTGAAAATACAAATCTATCTATATACTTCTTTAGCTTTTTTAAGCTCTTCAGTTGTTTGAATAAAAGCTTGAAAAAGTTTTTCAACTAATGGTAAAGATTCAATAGCTAATGGTTGTTTAAAACCAAATTGATCGAGACGTTTTCTTAATGTAATATATTTTTGTTCAGATAACGAAGCCATTATTAATCAGATCTCTTTCTTCCTGTTTAAACTTTCTAATTGCAATCAATCCAGACGGAATCCATTATTACTTATCTAAATAAAAACCAATGCGGATTTTTGACTTTTTTTTTAATATTAAGTGGTTTTGTTAAGAGAAAGAAGAATGAAAAAAATGAACCAATGGAATTTTTTATTGTCCATAACTCAGGTTGTTATCGTGGTAACGTCTGTTAAATATAAGCATATGATAAAATACAATGTATGATATGTAATAGATAAATTTAATATGTCAAAATATAGAGATTGTGCAAAAAAATATGATATTAGATTCATTCGATAGATTAATCAATAGATGTCTATAGAAATCATTTTTGTTTATTATTTGATTGTTCAAGCTGAACATATGAACATATGAACAAGTGATATGAACTACAATACATGGTATAATTGATACAGAATTAGGATCAGATGAATATTAGTTGTTCAATCTTGTTACTAATATTTATAGAATTAGTTTCAATTTGATTTTCATACAATTCATTAAACAATTTCAGAGTTCGAATTTCATCAAATCTTGAGCAAAATAGAATACTTCAAAAACATTTTCCATTGAAAAGATACTCATACGATGTTTTATTCTTGTCATTAAATACATTTTTAGTATCATAAATTACCCTTTTGACTCTCTAGTGATCATTTATCATGGATCAAAAATTGTTCTTTACATTGTATTATCATCAATCTTGCGATATCTCTTGCAAAAAGTCAATGGTCTATTATAAAAACATACATTGATTCTTTCTTTTAATAGTATTTAGCTTGTCAAGCAAAATTTTTTCCGACTCTGTGTTAAAAGTTTTGCTTATAGGAGTGTTCCAAGGTCATCAAAATTGTGAGCGATAATTCAGGATATCGATTGGAAGATTTTTGCTAAAGCTGATCGAATTTAGAAGGAATATTGAACATTTTATTTTCAATTGATAAGCTAAAAAACAAGAACAAAACACTCAAACTCCGCTGGAGATAGCGAACACTTTTCAAGAATGATATATGGGTCATTCTCTCGATCCTTTCCTACGAGGAACATCTCTGTTTTCTTTTGAAGGCTCTGCTCAAACCTTCACATGTTCCCAATAAATCATTCTTAGCCATTTATTCTTAAACTTGATTTTAAAATGCATGGCTTGAATAGATATTTATTCATACCTAAAGATGAATGAAAGTAGAACAAACACGCATATCAAAGATCATAAGAGTGAGAAAAGAAATACAGAACATTAACAAAGAGCTGGATTCAAAGAATATGAAGAAAAAAAAAAGAACTATTAATTTTTATAGTTTTTTGTGTTTTCATAAAACACACTGTTTCTTTGTTTGGTCATTAAAACAATGGAATAATTTAAATGTCAATGTCAACAAATGCTAAATTTTTCTTGTCATGTTTCATTGTTGAATTTTTTGGTGAAACTGATTTAGCAAAACCAACACGATTATTATCAAAATCAAATTCTGTATACCATGGTCCAATAAAAACATCGCCAAGTATCCAAAGTGGACCAGCTGGTGGTGGAATATCAATACCAGCAAAACCAGATAAACATATTGTTTTATTAAATTGACTAACAGTTAAAACATATTCTGGACCATCCAAATAAAAATCATTTCCATTAATTGTAAAAAGAACACGTGGTAAATTTGGAACTAATTTACAATCAATCATATACTAAAATAAATGACTTCAAACTAAAAAAAAAAAGAAAAACTTTCGTTTTTATCTTACTTCACCACCCGGAATTGGAATAGCACCCAATTTTGAATTAAGACTAGCTATTTCAGCCTTAGGACCAACTAAAAGACTTGTACCCGTATCAGCAATTCTAAAAAATAAATATAAGTCAAATTAAAAATAATCAATTTAAAATCAGAGTTATTCTTTACGCTTGACAACCGCCTTGACAATATTGATTTGAATCAAGTGAGATTCCATCAAGTTTAAATTGCCAATAATCTTTACGAGTTACATCAGCATAAACAAAGTCACCTTCGTATAATTGTGGGTCGGAACCACCTAATTACAAACATCAGAAAAAAAAAAAAATTAAATTTTTGTATTTATGAAAAAGAAAAAACCACATACCGAAGATAATTTCACCACCACGTGGGTTATTTGGATCACTGAAATCAATAAAAATTCATATCTTTCTGATTAGTTTTAAACCTACCGATCAAGCCAAAAACTAAATACATTTGCTGGAACTAATTTTTGATCCCACATATTATTAAATACTGGATAAACACCATCAACAGCAATCGATGGATATGCAAGACCAAGAATTCCTTAAAAAAACCCTTCAAATTATTTTTTTGAAACAAAAAAAAAACCATCTATTTCTCTTACCATCAAATTTAGCTGTAATAAAAACAATTCCCGGTTGTTTAATAGCTTCAGCAAATCCTTGATTTTGAACTTTAGCATCAGCAATCTAAATAAAACAATCATCAAATGAGTAAACAAATGCTATTTACATACCGTGACAGTATCTACACTAACATAACCTTGAAGTGAACCAGTACCATATTGAATCTATTAGAATAAAAAAAAAGAATAGAAAATAAAATTTGTCTTTTTTTTTTTTATTTACTTTAAACTCTGTGCCATTAGCTACATATGTTGATGATTTTGCACTATCATATTTCTTATGTAATTCTAAAACAAAAACTTTGAATGAATATTTCTAAAAGCAATATAACTTACGACAAGCAATATCAAGAAATGAACAATGAACACTAATGTTAAAATAAAAATTTATACTTTTTTTTTTACAAATACTTCAAAGGATGATCTACCTTGGTACCCAGAGATTTGAAGAACCGGTACTAAGAAAAATATATTTATTAATTTTTTTTTTCTATCTAATAATAATAAATAAACATACTCAAACACAACACGAAAAGGTTGAGCAGGTGTACCAATACCAATATCACCGTAATATTGAGCCTAGAAAATAAAAGTTTTTTTTTGTTTTGTTCTAAATTAATCATGTTTTTCTTACATCCAAATAATTTGTTAAACCTTCAGGGATTGGTCCACCAAGGCCATATTTACGTTCAAATGCATTTAATTTATGTGAACCAACTTCAAATAGTTGATCATGTACCGATTGAAAATGATGTAATTTTACTCTATTTTATTTATTTATTTTTTTTTTAAATAAATACAGTTAATAATTTATCAGATTAAATAAATATACAAACCGATGAAGACGAGCATTTATATCGATAGTAATCAATAATAAACAAAAGACAGTAGCAAGACAAGAAAAGCCTTGCATTGTTTTATTTTTATGTGTGTATCTAGAAGTGCAATAAAAATAGTATTTGTCTATGCTAACAGGACAATATGCAACTGTGTGAATAAAAGATAAGGCACTTTACGATGCACATCATATCATATGTATTTTTCTTCGTCATTCACTAACGAAGTAATAAGAGCATCTACGAAGAATTGAGATAGTAACAAAAGGAAAAAAAAAATATTGCAGATGAGTCATTAAGTTGAAAATGAATCATTCGATGATTTTATTGCGTAAAAATATACTTTTGCTTAGCTTGACAGTATGGGTCAAGTGAAAAATTATTTCGATAAATGCATGGTTATGTAACCATTTTTCTACAAAAAAAAAAATTTTTGATTGAGTTTGTTCGCACTAGCTGGATGAAAAGTCGTCAGAAAATAGATTTGACCAAGAAAATTTGCCGAATTTTATTTGAAATAGCAGAGATTTAGCACGTTCTCCTCTAAGAACATCTGAGAAAAGATTGCATCGATGATTTCTTTTTTCGAAGGTCATATCTTGTCTGTAAATAGAGAACTACTAAATTAATGCAACCTTCAAAAAATTCTTCGTTGTATTGAGATTTCAACAAAATACGAATATTTCAAAACACAAGAGTTTCTATACAAGTACTATGCTTTGAAATATTTACATTTGCGTCCAATTTCAACTTAGAAGAATGATACTTTTATGGTTATGCTAATTTAATAGTTTTCTACTTATAGGGCAAAATCTAAGTTCAAAACCTTAAAATCGATGTTGAAATCTAATTTAGATGTTCTTATAATGTTTTCCAAGTCACCATCGTTTCCGACGAAAGCCGACTCATTGTTTTAGTTAAACTATCTTCTGACTATTTCCTATCTAACTAGTGTGATAAACAGAGATATAAAGAAAACTTCGACAGTAAATTGATTGAATATTCATTTCATTTTACACCATTTTTAAAAGTATTTCAATTGAATAATAGAAAAATATACGAAAAATATGAGAAAGTATAGTAACTTAAAAATTTTTAGTAAATCTTTTTTAAACAAGATACTAATATTCAAATGAAGACAATTATTTCTCGAGATGTTACTTTTATATGCATATCTGATCTTAATTGATAGTTTTTTTTATTTTCGTTGATAAAAATATTGTTTAGTCATATTCAGTTCATTAATGAAAGTCATAAATTTATTGTTTTAATAATAGTGAATTTTTTAAATGTCGACTTATATTTAATTGTTCGATATTTTTTTGATTAAGTTTAATCATCGATTGACGAATTTTTCTAATTGAAAAAAGTTTTAATGATAGAGGATTTTCATGATATATCATTGTTAATTCATCAAAATATTGATTTAATGTATCAATCAATTGTCGACGTTTTGTTTGTAATATTAACGAATTTTGCATAGACATTGTTAATATCTTTGAAAGATCGTTTGTACGAATTTTATTAGCTATTATCTTTGTTAAATATCCATAATGAAAAGATACATATAAAAGTTTTTTAACATTTGTCATTGATGGATGATTACATGGATCATTATTTGTTTCAAAACAAACACCAGGTACATAAATTAATTGAAAAAATTTTTGAATACATATTGAATAATTTTCACATGGAATATGATGTAAAATGATTTGTATTAAACATAAAATAAATGGATCAATATATGAGATTGAACGACGTTCTTTAAAAATAGTTGAAGCTATTTGAGATAAAAAATATTCAAATGAATCAATTGTTTTGAATGCATTTGAAATAGCACCATGTTCAAGAAGATCAATAACAATAGGTACACAAAAATTGTAAAGACCATTTTGAAGACCATCATTAAATTCAAATTCAATCTGTTCAGGATAGACGGAAAGAAGATAATCACGAAAGAAATTATACACAATTGGATAGTTTGATTCTGAAAGATAAAATGACTTGAATTTTCAAGATATACTTGTCGATATTGATCAAAATTTGAGTAAGAGAATTTAGAAAAAAAACTTTTCCGTGCTATCTCAACTACAGAGATCGAATTGAATCGTGTTTTTTTTTTTGAGAACCAAGTCGATCCTATCTCCATTAGATAAGGAAAACTTATGTATTATTGCTGTTTTAATTGTGAGTAAATCGAAATACGATAAACTTCCACATAGACTAGATTAAGGAAACATTGATTTTTTTTCCTAATACGATTGCATGAGACAACTTTATTTTTCGAAAACCAAATCAAAAGTGAATCTTTGATCATAGAGGAATTCGTTGAAAGTTGCTCTTTCAGAATATATATATGAATTGTTTCAAGACGCAGCCAAATTCTAATAGATTTATTGAAAAAAGGTGTTTTTCAAGAAGTCCACTCGTCGTCAACAAAAATTTCACTTCAAATGATCTACGCTACGACGAAAGAACCTTATGTGAAAGCCGTCGATCGAGCTCATCTTTCACTCGTATATAGGACTTAGCGAGACTAGAAATGTCATAGCAGAAAAATCGAATGGAAGAATATTGACTCAAAACTTTGTTTATGTAAATAGGTTTCACAGCCAATACAACGCCCTGAAAATTTTAATCGAAATAGCTGAGTTTTTCTACATATATGCACTGTTGAAAAAAAAAAGATTTGATTTGCTTCGGTTTCTATGGATTAGCACGTTTTTCTTCATTTAATATTTGTAGACACCGTCATTCACTTCTATTAATACTTTTAGAACAGTGTATTGGCTGTGAAACCAGTTTGTACATAGACTTCCCAATTAATATTCCTTTGTCCGATATTTCTGTTTATACCGAGACACCAGTGAAAAAAACAAGTAAAGTAGTCATAACTCCAGAAGGACTTCGTATGGAATCGCATTCTCAAATAGAAAACTCATTATGAGAGAAGTGAAAGGTTCTCAAATTCAATATTTCACTTCAAACATTAGATAAATATTTGCATATTCGATCTTTGAAAAATAAACCTACCCATTCCACATAGACGTTTGAATGGTGAAGAATTGTTAACATCTTGTATGATTGGATTTGCTCCATGTTCAATTAATAATTGAATATATTCCAAACGTTTTCTTGGATCAATAGTATTCGTTACAACACATATTGATAAAGGTGTTTTACGATCAGATAATAAACTATTGGGATTAAAACCAGATTTAAGTAATAATTGAAATATATTTTCATAATTTTTTATAATAGCATTATGTAATAAATTACATTGTTCTGTTTGTTCATTAAATTTTAGTTCTTTTAAATAATATGAAGTTTTAAGAAGATTTTCATCATTATTTAAATGTAAATATTCAATTGTTTTATTTAATAATTTATTTACTTTTGGCTTGTTTAATGAATTCGAATAAACATATATAATGGATTCATATATTGATGATGACGATGGACAATATTGTTCAAATAGTGCATTTAAAATTTCAGATGATTGGTTAGAATGTTTAAAAAAATTATCTAATTGAGTAGTAAATTCTTGTAGACGTGTCTCAACTAATGATGTCGGTTGTTGGTGTCTTTTGTATGATGCATACTCCATGATTGTGAGCTAAAAAGGAAATAATATTGTAAAAAATATGTATAGCTAATTATATTTTCTGACTCATTTACGAAAAAAAAAACAAAATTCTAATAAGCAAAGCTGTTCCTAAATGTGACTCATTACAGGTAAACGGGAAAAAAAAGAAAAAACGAGTTTTTTTTTCTCTTTTATTATTCGATTGGCGGAAGATATTTCCATTAGAAATAAATGTATTTGATCTAAATTATTATACATAAAATAATTGGATTTTCATAGAAACTCGTTTCGATGTGCATCCAATGCATTAATAGTTATAACATGAAAATTTCAGAAGACTGAATTTCATTAAATTATTCATTTATTTTCTTTTTTTGATCATAAACGGTACTATTGGAAAGAACGTTCAATAGAACAGATGTCTTTTCATTTTCAAAGTCATAGGAAAAAAAGCGTTTATTTTCGTTTAACGTATTGAATGATTGAGTAAGTCTGACAAAAGAAAAAGCGTTGGGTTCCTGTGACACATCAACAATGTGCACTGCTAGATGAAATTTCAAAATACTTTCATTAGTGTTCTATCAATAGATGAACGGACGGATGACCGTAGAAATGTCGAAAATAGAGGCGCCACTTATCGTATCACTCACATGTTTTCTGGCGCCTCTGTTTTCGACATTTCTACGGCACACCGAACGAACCGAGTTTTGTTCAAACTTTTGTCTTTACTTTCGTTGGCTCAATAGAATATAAAAGCTTGATTCATGTATTGTATCAAACAAATGCTTGAACAAGAAACTATTCTCGAATATTTCGGGCTTTTACTTAAGACAGCTTTTCGAATTCAATTTTTCTTGCTTACCTTTTCGAATATCTTTTGATGTAATAGAATAATTATCATGGTTATTTGTTACAGACCATTCAGATCGGTGTAATGGTATATATTCATGTTTTGAAAACTCATAAAATACAAACGATTTGCTTTTATCAAATAGATTTGTCATGATATATACACGTCAAACTGATTCTAGTGAATATAACAGATGATCTAAAATATTAGTGATAACATAGTTTTGACTTATTCTATAAAATAAAATCTACACTAGTCGATTGAATAAATGATATTTTTTTTGATTTTAATAAGAATTTCTTTTTTATTCGATGGTACTTTTCTTTTATTTCAAAATGAATATTTTCTTTTTCTTTTTGTTATAATATAACAACAAAACAACAATAATAATAATTTTAATAGTCACTAGAATAATATTAATATCATTGTCGTCGTCATTGATAATTATTTATAATTTAAGTTTTGTACGACGAAAATGACGACGTTTTGAATTATATCGAATTGTATTTCCTGTACGCATTCGAACCTAAAACAAAAAATTTAAAAAAAAAATATATATATATATATCCAAGAAAAATTATAATAAATAGAATAGTCAATTTACCCATTGTGGTACAGGTCGATTTTGTTTTTGTTTTTTTGCAAGCACTTTTTTTATCTTAAGTGTCTTATGTGACGGCATCTGAAAACATTACAAAAAAAGAAATCGACATTCTCTTTTATATTAAAATACAAAAGTCATTCACAATGCTCTCAGGGAAAACTTGGTGATTAGTCAACAGAAAATATTCTGTTAGCAAATTTATCATCTTCGAGCATTCGTCCGATTTAGAAAACAAAAATTTGTCTCAAATCATGTGTTGATATAAAAATAAAGACCCAATGCGAGATTAAAAAGTAAGAAATAACACAAAAAAGAAAACAATTATCTGAATACTATAAACTATCCAATACGAGGTTCAACAGTAACAATATTTTTTTCATCGACAAAAACAAGAATTCGAGTTGGACAAAAATCCAGTGTTACTGGTGAATTATCACGAAGTGTTTCAATATGATCAATATCTAAATTTACAAAAAAAAAAAATAATAATAATATTGTAATATATTGATATATTTATCTAACCTGCTGATTCTTCTTTCAGAGTTTTTAATGCTGAATTGATGTCTTTGCCAACTAATTCTGGCCATACACGTTTTTGACTTGCTGACATTTGATTTATCTGAAGTAAGAAAGTAACAATTTACCAATCAATTTCTTAAAGTACATGGAAATTCTTTGGATGGAAAAAAAACGTCTTGCTCTAATTACCAAGGTACATAAAATAATGTAAATGTTCCAGTATGGCTAGTCAGACAATAAATGCCATTTACAAAATTCTCTGTGGAGTTTTTTTTGTTCTTTCTGTATCAATCAAATTAAATTTTATACGAAAGTAAAATCGACAAACAATTCTACTGGTTTACGTTTCTTTTTTTTTTTTCTACATACACTACGTAGTTTTTTATTAAACGAATGAATTAATCATAAAGCTAACATTGATAATGAATTCCAAAAATCTAATAAATTTCAAATAAAAAAATTAATATAAAAATAAAAATGCTTTTTCATTGATTATTATTTTAAATTTAATTCTTTTTTTGATTAATCGATAGACGTCACTACTATCTCTTGACATCACATCATCATCTTAAGTTGTCATGTCGTATGACTTGACAAAAATAAAATGTTTGCTTTGTATAAACTGTTTATGCTTATTTTCAGAAAGGAAATATTTTTTTTATAAAGCATACGCAAAATGACAACATCCGATCGTCGTCAGTCGAATCATCATAAAGAATTAAGTAATGTTCATCAGACTAATGATAATAATAATTCAAGAGATGCTCAAATAGATTCTGGTACTCAGCAAAAAAAAAAATATTTTTTTTTTCTTTAATTTTCTTTGAATTTTCTTTTTCTTTTAAATTTACATAGAGTTACTTGAATTAGAAACAGCTTTAAACGATATTGAAAAAGCTATGGATAAAATAGAATCTCAAAATTCACATATTCAAACAAAATTACGTGATCTACTTGAATCAAATAGACAAATGACAAAAGAATTTACTGATATACGTCGCGGTATGACAAATAAATTTAAAGATGTAACACGAGATTTAGAACAAACATCAGGTACGGCACATGATTTAGCTGCTGTTACATCCAATACATTAAATAAAATTGAACATGAAATGTCATCAACGAATGAAAATAAAAATTTCAAATAAACTATTATTCACTTTTATTCTATTAGTACGCTTATTTTCTCTTCCAATAATAAGAAAAAAAAATCAAGCAACATTCAATAAAAAAATCTATTAATGATTTCGTTTTTGAATGAAATTAACGATTCAGATAAACTGTTTGTTGTTTTAGATCATGTCTCTTTTTATACGAGCCATTCTATATGTAGCACCTCGACGTTTTGCAAGTACTGTTGGTTCGAATCCACAAGGTACTCAAGATGATCCATCATCGGCAGCAAATTTTATTCCAGATTTTACTTTTCCTCAAGGTCTTCAAGGTGATTTATCAAAGGAAAATGCTCATGATGCTATTTGTAATTTATGGTTACAAAAATGTAAACTTTATGGTTATGATAATTGTGAAGAACGTTTACAGAAATTATTGGATATAAATTCAATTCCAAAAAAATAAACTCTTTCAATATGAATTCATTTTCTCATCTCTATTTTATCAAAATAAGTTAAGCATAGTCTATAGATAGTATTTTTTTAGTATTTATAAGTTGAACATGTATATTTAATCAAATATTCGTTTACGATGTGATGTGTGCAGTATAGTTATAGATAGTTATTAAATACAGTTTTATTTAGAATAAGTTTTCTTTTTTGCTCATATAAAGACCAAGAATCATTTACAGTGATATATGGAACTTGTGTCATACAAATGTTGAATTATTATGAAAAATATTGATGCAAGTAATGAAGAACTTATTAAAATACAACTTTTTACATTGCTGCTATTATGATTTACTTGGAAATGTAAAATTGTAATTGTTTCGCTCAATTTTAAATAGATTTTTCTATAATATTTCATGAATGAACATTTATTATTGTTATATAACGAGTTATTGACAAGTCATTTGACAAAAACTGCATTCATTTTTTAACTTCGACAGGCATTTGAAAACATGGAGTTTGAATCAAAATATTGTATTGTGGCTAAATATAGACTTGACATTTCTCTAGGACTTCTAGTTTAGGAGGTCATCTTTTAGAGACATGAAAATGAAATTTAATGAGTTTTGCAATAACAGTTTCAATTACTCCATGAATTATATTAACGATGTTTTTGCATAGAATTAAAAATGGTATTATTCTGTATAAAGTGATAGAAGAATCGAAAGCTTTAGAACAACTATTTAGATGATATGATCAAGCTTCCCTTGTAAGTCTGTTTTCTAGAGAAAATTGAAACGGTATCTCTTACCAAAATATTCACTGTTGACAAATGACTTGCTGTAAACTAATCATTAGTATACTATTTGATAAAGAAATGTTTGTTCTATCATTCGTTGTATGTGACATTACTATCGATTCTACTTTGAATAATTTTTGGCGTATGGAAGCTCGTCCAAACTCAATTTATGGAGGACGAAAAGGTTTGTTCATAGCTTTTTAAACATGAAGTCTTACACGAATTTTGAAGCCATATTTGGAGAGAACACAAAATCTGATTTTCATCTAATATTTTGACATTTCTGCAAGCTTCTTTCAAAGATTGAAAACTGAACGAACATTTTGTGAAACTACTTTTTTCATAAACTGTTATATATGTTGATATTTTTCATCAAGGATTTGCTATTGATTAATTTTATATGACTTATTGAAATATTGTTCATGACTTTTTATATATAATGAAGTCCAACATTATCAGATGAATCATGTCATATAGTTCAGTCAATATGAGCTAATCCTAAATTGTTCATTGAATGATACGCAATCAGAATTTGTTTATAAAAAATCTGTTCGTATTCTTATGATGCATTTTGAACCGATATAAATAAATGAAATTTCTAATCGCAAGTCATTGACAAAATATGAAATGTGTTTTCAGTTTTTGTATCAAGTCATATCTTTTTTGTCCACTGATAAAAGATACTAATCACTTTGTGCTTCAATATAAGGTTTGTTCTGTGTAATCACCAATTAAATTCATCGTTTATGAGAATTTATTTTACGAGGTTTGAAACATATTAAAAAGCTTTTACTGATTTTCTATTGATTACATTATTCATATTTGATTAGTTGATGACTTTCTTGCTCGTAATCAAAAATGTAAGTTGATGTAATGATGTTCATGAAACAAATGACGTTCGCATCAAGATGAATGATTTGATATTATATTCATTCAATCATTTTTTTTTGCTATTTATCTTAATAATTTTTAAAAATTTCTTCACGTATCTTAAGAGAAATTACTAATTAGTTATCAGCACATAATGAATTTTCATTATTACTTTATGATAATTCAACTGATTTATCTTAAAGATCAGCACAGAAATAAAGTCAGAAATAAATGATATGTGAAACACTACAGAATGCTCTTAAAATGGTTTGTTGATTTTATTTTTCTTATTACAATTTTCCTCATTCTTCGTTTTTTTTTTGTAGAATATTCAATTAGAAATTGAATGTCAATTTGTATAAGATCAATTGAAAAGTGATAATGCAATGAAATTACGGATAAAAAAAAAATAATAAAAAGATGCTTTACTAGTTTGCAAAGATTAAAGATGCCTTATCATATATGATGCAATTCTTCAATGTAAATTTTCATTTTTTTTTTCTTATATCAAACAATAACGAATGTCAGTGTAATTCATATTTGAAAAATAAAAAAACTTGGATAATGTTGACCTATTATATAAATGTATGTATTCTTTTTTGTCAAATAAATGTTATAATACAAATGAAATACGTGAAGATGATATCTTATGATCGTCATTGAGTTTCCTATATGATTTAGTGATGTTCATCTTTTTGTTGTCTTCTTTATTTTTAATTGAAAACAAATCAATAATAAAGCATGTTGATGATGGTCAAAATGTATTATAAAGAAATAAAGTATATATTATGGTTGTTCATATGCTTGACAAAAAAAGATCATCGTTTACTTTTTTGACTGATATATAATATGTCTTATTTCAATGTTCGTTTATCTTTATCTTTCGTTGTCTTTGCTTTATTTTTCATTAGCTTAGAAGCTTATGCAAACGAGCCTTGAACTTCCTTCTAATTCAAATGGACTTAGACGACAAAGCATACATATAATATTGGTAATATAATGATGATGCAACCTTAAAGTAAAAGCAATGACGCTAAACTAAATCTCAATTGACACTTCGATGATGAGAAGAAATGAGAGAGAGAGAGAGGAAGAAGAAAAGAAAAATTCGCTTTACAGGTATATACCTTCATTATTACCAGAGAAATACAAGATTTCATCATCTGACTGATTCTTCTTTTACAAGGCATATATACATACGTTTAACATGTACAATATTTACACAAATTATACCAATTTTCTCTCTTTCCTTCTTTTTTCTTTTATCGACGAACAAAAGCAAAAGTCGCTTGCTTTTCATTCATAAAAATAAGATTCTACCTATGGCGATGTCAACGATCTCCTTTCATTTTACCAATAAGTACCTCTGCTTATATGTATTTATACTTATAGTTATTGTCAGATATTATTATTTTTTTTTGAGTAATCATTGAAGTTTATAATGAGTAACGGTAAAATACACATATTCAGTACTGCACTACCAGTCAAACTTACGCATACCATATTTATTAGCTTGAAAAAAAAATGTAATCATTCAGTATGTATAAATATATTTGTTCAATATAATTTCACACTTACTTCAATATAAGGCGATTGCTTTTTTCTTTTACTCATAGATATCTGTCTTGTTTTCTCTCATGATTACTCAATATTATTTTTAAGTAGCATTGATCATTTTTCTTTCTAAATTGGCTTTGTCTGAGTCTTTTGATAAATGGTAGTGGAGTGCATCTGATAATTGAATTGTTGCATGTACATGACACGTTTTGATCATACCTACAAATTGATTCATTTTCTTTTAAAAAGAAATGAAAGTAACCAGCCTAATTACACTGATTGAGCAACAGATTTTTTTTTTTATCGATTTGCACTTTCGATGTTCAATTGGCTCATTAGATAGATATATTTATATGTATATATATATATGTGTGAATAGTAGATGTGATGTAATTTGAAAATAGTTATCAATTGAAAAATTGAATTTATTGCATATTTGATTATATTCTTTTGTAGACGATCATTTGAAAAAAAAAAGAGAGAATTGTTCAAGCGAATCACATTATTGAGCGACGAACGATATATTTGTCAGATATATATACAGAGCGACTGAAGATTGATTATAAATGATGTATCTATAGAGTGACAATGAGACAGAAAAAGGAGATAAACCGTTCATCTTCGAATGAATGATGAGAGAGAAAGAGAGAAGACAGTATATAAATATATACAACTAATTATGTTTTCTAATAGTTGTAGTTATCATTGTCTTATTTTATCAAATTTTAATCATCACAAAATAAGAGGTACAAAGAATAAAATTAAATGAAGCGTAGAAAATGGCAATGTAACGACAAAAACGAATCGACCCAATATGAGATCAATTGAAAGATATTTCGTTTGGATATAAAGAGTAAAGACAAGAGAGTTATTACGTCATCTAGTTATTTTTGTTCTTATCAATTTCATCAGGTCTATGTTCCGTTTCATTTTTTTTTTGTCTTCGTTTCAATGAATATGACTGATCATCATCCTCATCTTTATTTGTTCATCGGTAAACAAGACACCTTTGCCATTTGTATATTTACATAACACTTGAGAGGTTTCTTCATCAATTGTTTTTCATATTCAAACATCCTGTGATAGGTAAGTTACATATAGAAATTAATTGTTTGTGCCATTTTACAGTCAACTAAACGTGCGACATTGATCATTTTCACTTTTACTTTCTAATCGCTTGATTGTCACGTTCAATCGTTAAACTTATGATAGTTTTCTTCACGCATTTTTGCTATTTTCAACACATTTTTCTCTTTTTCTCTCTCTCTCTCTTTTTTTTATCTATCTCTCGTTAGATGGATAGATCGATGATTTGATCATAGTATAAAGACATACGTGACAAAAGACTATAATCATTTTTCGTTGTCGACATCATTTGACGTTTTCATTTTATTCATAAATAAAAAATAATTCTATAAAATAGATAGTCATTCAAAATAAGTACCATTCATTGAACATTAAAGTGAGTAAAAGATTCTCAAGGTTGATCCTATTGTGAAGAGGATGACACTATTACACTTATGCCTATGTTTGTTGTCGTAACTACTTTCTCTCTTTCTCTCTCTTCGCTGCAATTTATATGGAAAAAGAAAAGTGTTCTTTTTCTTATTTGCTTTATTGTACAAGTTTTATTCTCTGTTACTTTCGATTTTCTGTCAAGACATTAAACTTCACTGGCACGTGTATATTTTCGAAGATTCTTTTTTTTCTCGTTTTTACACCTACTCATAGATTTTAATTGAACATTTTGATGATAAAGTTAAATAGATTTGACATTGACAAATAGTTGAACATACAATAAACATAAATTAATTCGTTTTAGAAGTAAGTTATTGTTTGTTTAATAATCTGATTAAATGATTCCTAAAAGGATGATCTTGTTTGTGAAATCTTTGGAAGTTTTCTTTTTTTTTTTTTTTCTTTTTCTCTTTCTTCGGTCACTAGTCACCATTTGAATATTGCTACCTAATTCATGTTTACATAAATTACCTTTCAGGAATTCATATTACGCGAAAAAGAAAAAAGGTGTATTACGTAGACACCCACATTTGAAGTATAAACAATCTCGAAACGATGCAGTATGTTTTAGGCAATGAAGTAAAGAAGAAGAAAAGAATGATTTCGATTTTCATCTATTGCTGCTGATGAGAACGACGAGAATCGCATCCTGTATGTGCACGTAATCACTTGAACATAATTTAGACAATAGAAAGGCAGACTGAACTATAAGCACGTATGAGTTTGAACAATAGAATAAAAGTGAGTGGAAATAGTGAAAAGAAAATGATTATATACATATCCATCGTATACATTGTGCTACATAGTAAAGTCAAAAGACTGATCCATTTGAACCTTTTTTTTTTTTTTTTTCTTTTCTTTAAGATTGACTGGTATTGCGATTGATGGTCATTCATATCTTGGTCGATGAGTACTCTCATCATGAACGAAATTATATTCATGTTACTTTGCCGACTTCTAACGATAGTCATAGCACAGACACAAGGTATAGTCTTTCTTCTACTTAGACATGATCAGTACTTTTGACAAGAACAAATGAATGAATACTCATTCAAATGTGTGAACGTTGATCTAATCAATATTCATTAATTATTGTTATGAAAGAAAAAGAAGAACGATAAAATATGTCAACAAACAGAAGACTGATGGTAATCGGAGTAGAAAAAAAAATAAAAAAGTTGTGACTTAATACTTTAATTAAGTCTCTAGACATGTTTCATTAAAATAAGAATTATTTAGGAGAAACGAAAAAGAAATCTTTTATATAGGCTTCATAAAATAAAAAAAAAAAGAGAAATTTTTAATTAAGGTCAATTATGTACACTTCAATTTTTACCTGCACTTCAAATAATCACAATGCCTGAAGATACCAAACCTGAAGATCTTGTTACTCGTCTTCAAATCACTGGTACATCATCAGAAATAGCTACTCGACTTGTTTATAATAGTTCTGATGTAAAAACAAATGGAACTGATTATTTTACATTAAATTTTACAGATCTTTATTTACGTTATTGTAAGTTTTTATTTAATTAATAGAAAAACAAAAAAAAACGAAATCTCTGTTTTCTTTCAAGCTCTTGATTATGAATGGTGGACATCAATTAATAATCCAAATCCATTTCGTTTCATTGTTGAATGTAAAATACTAGCTAATCAATCGATTTATAATATCGACTTTCAACTTGACCTTATCGATGTAAATGATAATCCACCAAAGTTTAATCAATCTTTATATAGAATAGATATATATGAAACAACATCAATTGGTACAATTATACCAACATTAATATCTGCTTATGATATTGATTCTGGTATATATGGAACATTTTCATATTATTTATTAAGTAATTCATCAACATATATAGTAAGTGAATTTTATTAAAAAAATAAAAAGCATAATAAAACAATCATTTTTATTTTATGTTTTCTTTAGTCTTATTTTCAATTAGTAAGTTCAACTAATGCAAGTCTAGTTACAATGAAACCATTAGATTATAATTCAATGGTACCAAATTTTAATTTAACAATCATTGTACAAGTAAATGCATTTTATACCAAAAAAGAAAAAGAAAATTTCATCTTTTTTTCCTCTTGTTTGATCTTTGTATTTAGGATAATTTAAATGCATCTCTTTCTTCTCAAGCAATTATTTCTATACATATTATTGATGTTGATAATTTAAGCCCGACATTTCTATCTGTATCGTACAATGTTAATATTTCAATTACTACAATAATTGTATGTTGAATTCCATCATTATTCATTTTTTTCGAAATAAAAACTATTGTATTTTATTTTTTTTTTACTTTAGGGAAGTCAAATAACACCAAATGAAGGTGGAATATTTGCTTATGATCAAGATTTAGGTATCAATGCAACTATACTTTACTCTATATTAACATCAAGTAAAAGGATTAAAAAAAAATTTTTTTTTTGTCTTTCTGATATCTTAATCTTTTTTTTCTTCTGTTTTAGATATTTATTTATCAATTGATAATTATACAGGTGTTTTAACTCTTCAATCAAGTTTTAATTTAACAATGCGATTTGATCTTTTAATCAAAGCAAGTTTTTTTTTTTTTTAATTGTATTAAAGTTTTATTTTATATTTTTAATATCGGTTTTTTTTTCAATTAGGCTGAACAAATTGATAATAAAAATCGATCGGTCACTACTATTTTACATGTTAATGTATATGAATTAAATATTTATCCGCCAAGTTTTCTTAATCTACCTTATATTATGACTGGTTATGCAACAAATAATCTTAATCAAATACCAATATTTAATGGTAGTATAAGTGATAATGATACGGTAAAGTAATTAGATTAGGTAAAGAAAAAATCTAATTTCAACATTCCTTTAGATGCCAAGATTGAATTATGTTTACACATGTAATACATCATTACTTAATTTGAATATTAAAAACATCAAGTAAAACGATAGGTTTTAGTTTTTGTAAATCAAAAAAAAATTTATTCTTATAAATAGTGTTCGTGATTTTCAAATTCAACCAATTTATTCTCAAACTCCACCAACATGTCGGCCTTGTTTATGTACTCTTAATGTATCCGATGGATTATATGTAAGTTATAATCCACTACAAAAATTTAATACACGATGTATCAGATTTTATATCAAATATAATAAGAACTAGTTTTTTTAGCTGATATCATTTTGAATTTATAACTTCTGATATGTCTTGTACTATATTTTAAAGTAAATATTTATTGAATATTTAGTCGACTCAAACAAATCTTACAATTTTCCTGTACACTCCAGTTTCATTTTCAATGAATTCTTATCTTTTCTCAACAGATTATTCACTTAATAATCCATCGATTATCATTGGCAGTGTACAGGTATAAATTTTATTCATGAAAGTTCTACTATCATTGATAGTTTTTTAGGTCACCATTGATAGTCTTTGTTCAGTGCAATATTCTCTTGTTGGTCAATCAAGTTCTTTATTTTCCATTTCTCAAACAGGTAACATAACATGGTCCAATCCATCAAATCTTCCAACACAAGAAGCATATAAATTTCAAGTTATTGTTAAACAAAATTGTTCATCAATAGTCATGAATATATCTACTGATATTATCATTACTATTCGTAATTTTCCTTCATCTGTTTTAACAACAACAATAAGTTCATCGAGAATTGATAATAGCACAATATATGCTATTATAGGAGGTGTTGGTGCATTTATTCTTATTGTAATTGCTATTCTATTTATTATTATTTATTATCGTATTCAACGTGCTAAACATCGTGTTCCACCATTTTTTAAAATTCGAAAACATTCTCCTGCACAAGGTTTATCATTTTTCAAATCAAAAAGTCCTCTGAGTAATTCATCACCATATACATTAGGTGTACGTGATGATGATTCATCAAATAGTAGTACTGATCAAATATCATCATCACCAATAAATAATCGTCTTTTATCTGGACATTATAAAGTTAGTGAACTACCAGTGAATACAACTATTGAAGAATTATTATCATCATATGATAATCGTTCAACAAGTAGTTCATCTAGTTCATCTGGTGTAGGTGATCATGGTATATCAACAAATATAGGTGCATTTCGTACAACAATACGTGAAACTAATGATCCTCAACAATTGGATACAATTAATGAAGATATACAATGGGTTAATAGTAATCAACAACAACAACAAAGACTTCTAAATGGTTTAAGACATCAAATTATACCTGAAGATTCAATGGATATTATATCTGAATCTCATGAGGTAGACAATAGATTAAGACACAATACTAATGCTTGTTTAACTTGCTTTAATTCTAATTCGATTAATCATGTGTGTTCTTGTTCTTGTTCATTATTATCAAACACATCAATTCACTTATTGTTATCTTCCTCTTCCTCCTCATCCTCAGGTTCGACAACCACTGTTGCTGCTTGTCAACAACAAACTACAACAAAAACAACAGTTGAAGTAGGACTCAACAGCTTTACTAGTTATGATTATGCTCGATTCAGTCCTATTGCTGCTACTCGTTGCTAATTCTCTTGCTTTTTTTTGTATAACTTATTTATGTATATCTAATAGTTGCTTGTAACTAATATAAAACTTATGACATTCTAATTATATATGATTATATTTATGTTTTCAGTCATCAATCAGCGGTGCTGCTGCCGACAATGGAACATCGTCATCAACATTACATCAACAATTCAACACGAGAAACATTCTCAGTCGAAATTTAAACGAATATTTAACAGTATTTGTATAAAGAAAAAAAATCGAATTGAAATCAATATTGGGTTTTATTTTCAATAAGAATTCAGTTTTAGACAAGTTATTTCTTCTTTTTTTTCTTTAATATTATTCTATTTGGTTTTGATAAAACTGCTTGATAAATGATAGATCAGCAGAATTACATATATATATATACAAAAATAATTGAACATTATATAATTCTTTGTCTATTCATGTAAAAACCAACTTTCGTATCGATTCTTATAGAAAATTTAATGGCTTGTCTTTCTCGAAGATCTCCAAGTGTAAAATGAAAGATAATAGGAACATTTACAGACTATTGAGCACTGCTATTCTATCTAGAGCACCGATTTTTTTATGCATTTGAGAGAAGCAATAGAAACTCTAACAGCTACATATTGCAATAACAAGAGACAAACAGAGAGAAACAGACTAATAATTGATTACAAGACTCATGATAGTTATTCAAGGATGATCATTATTACGGCGCTTGGTCTCATAAATTAATTAGAAACTTATTTTAAATGTACAGACATAAACTATACAGAGAAAAGGCACTGATCGATTTTGCTCAAGTAACCATGTAATTACGACACTCTTCTTTTATGAAGAGACATTTCCAATATACACTTGACTTTTTACATCGATAAACTGAATAGGTAAATCTATAGGCCCATACTAATTGAGTTTGATTCTGGGTGATTCCATATCAATTCTAACACTCAAAAGTCAGCTTTTTCCTTATTGGTTTTTCAACTGGATCATACCTAAGCAACAGACTAAAATGTATTTGATGCTTCATAGGAGTACCCAGAAAAATTGATAATATGTGAAAGTGTTCTTACAGAATGAATTCTGTTATCAATTGACCTGAATAATAGATATACTATACAATACTGTTGTGGCAGCCTCTGCCAGATTATACCCCTCATGCATCTCTCTGTTCTCATCTTCATAAAAGTGACGTATCTATCCTATGTTTATTTGAACATCATGGTTATTCTCACTAATATCTTGATTTATAACAAAGTATGTCTTCTTCTTGCCTTCATTCTCATTCAGGCGATGCACGTTTTCTGTTTTCATTTATTCTATTCTTCATCCTTGCTGAAACTACAAGTGTATTTTCGTTTTTTTTACTCTTAACTCAAGAAATGTACCGTTGTTTAGAATTATGTGACCTCCTCACTCTCTTGAGTTCCAAGAGCTCATAGAGTTTTATAGCTAATGTGGAAATACTTTCGGTTGACCTTTTGCTTTTGAGCTCATTTATGTAATGATGAGAAGAGGATTTTGTTTGCAGGACCACAATTATCCAGCAAAACCAGACTTTCAAATTTGAACTAAAAGTTTGCCCAAATAAGACCTTGATTAGACTAGCTTGAAAGAAAAACTTTCATAACTTCTGAACATTGTATCTCAAGTATATGAGTTTTTCGAAATCATCATTTCTTTTTTACAATACATATGAAAATGCTCGCATATTTGGATAACGTTATATCTCTGAGCTGTAGTGTTCATAAATTCTGAAATTGTATATACAAGCTAATCTCATGGAGGGTTTTATTCGGATAAACCTATAGATCAAAATTAGAAAATGTGATTTTGGTAGAAAACGGGGATTTTGTAGAGAAAATCAACGACAACTTCGATATCTTCGTCAAATATGTCAATTAACGTATCTCTTATTTGGAAATTATTCTAATCTATTGATTCTCTACTTGTTGGTAAATAAATGAATTCAACAGCAAAGCATTACTCAGAAATATTTCTTTGAAAATGAAAATATGAAATATTTGATGATGCATAATTGTTTTGCATTACTCGTTGGATTAAATTTAAGTTCAGAAAATCTTCAAGAATTCAAATTTCATCAAAATCAGACATTACTCTCTTGAGAAGTAAAATTCAATGCTTGTTTCAATTCAGATAGACTTCAAAGTTGTACTTCTGACAATGTTGTTTCTTTTTTACATAATCATCAGACACAGATTTCATCTTTCATAGAGGAATCGATTAAGATTTTTTTCTTTGTAAAAAGCAAATAGTTGAAGAAAAATTTCTTCGCATGATTTTTACTTCTTTTACCAGCAGACTAGTGTACATGAGAACATTTCTTTAACTCATATTCGGGTTGGCTTTGACAATTGTTGTGTAATTTGACGATGAATTTTTGCTTTCGCCTATAGAAACGTGCTTCGAGAGCGTTGTTATGTCCTTCATCGGAACAGAATTTTGTTTGTCATAAGTTCAAACAGCATTGTTAAGTAAATTTGATAGGCACTAGGAGTGATATTTTTCTATCGAGGTCTTGCTTAGCAATGGCAAGTAGAAAACAATTTCTTTCGATGTTATGCGAAATGATTTTTGTTCCAAGGTCAATGATGTCAGTAAAATTTCAAATAAATCGAATTTGTATTAATTTTGTTGTAAAACCTTGACTCTGTACATTGATGCCGAGTAGCTAATATGTAGTGTCGTCGATGGAAATTCCAAACAAACGTTGAGGAAACTCTGCTGGAACAAAAAGAACTTGAAACGAAGGCGGACGACGAGGAAGATACAATCTAGGATATAGAATTTATCTTACTGCATAGAGCTGCATTTGCAAATTTGTAGATTCAACGAAGAGGAGTTTCTTTCAGAACACCAGCAGATCCATACTTTATTTTTCTTTTGGTCGAAAACTTCTACAAGAAACAATAGAATGTCATGAATGGTGTTTTACAACAAAAACATGGTCAAGAAAGAAATTTTACATCTAAGTGTATTACCGAAGATTCTTTAATAAAAACGAGAAGAATCCATTTGCGATTGTCGATCTTTAACTAGGCCAATCCAGTATCTCAGCTCATGATTGAATTCCAATAATGAATTGTTTTGATAGCAACACAAAGACTTCTAGTCAACCATTATCTTTTGCGATACGTCAGATATCATTTTGTTTCGTGACTTTGATACCAACATCTGTTGTACTACTCGAAATCGATCAAGAAGAACGCAATTGCTTTCTATTGGTTCGTGATATTTTTTTGAATTTATTAATAAAAGTGCACGAGCAACATTCAGTGAAGCCTGTTGAGTAGGTAAATAATGATGTCGTAATTGAAAAAAATATTTTTCTTTCTTTGCAAGGTTCAGTAACAGAAGAAAAAAAAAACAAACATTCATAGAGAACAGCAACGAAAAATCGGACGTACTTTCTTTTTCATTTTTCATTTTTTCTCATTGGATTTCTTCACTCGACAACAACATGCAATAATAACGATGCATATTCTTAGTTTAATACTTCTATTGATGGTTGTTGAACTGACTTCTTCGACAACATATTCATGTAGTTCAAGTTCTTCGTGTGGTTGTTCAACCAATTCAGCAACATTAGCACGTATTGTTGGAGGAGAAGCAGCTGCTTCGCAGACTTGGGGCTGGGCTGTGTCGCTAAAGATTGGAGGTTCGTTATGTGGTGGATCAATCATTTCAGCTTCATGGGTTCTTACAGCTGCTCATTGTGTTTCGGGAGCTAGCGCCAGCCAAATCACTGTTTACGCTGGTTCCACCTCAAGATTGACCGGCACTCAGAATCGATCAGTGTCCTCAGTCACATCCCATCCAAGCTACAATGCGGCTACCTTTGTCAATGACATCGCTCTTCTTCTACTGTCGACTCCATTGAATATGACTGATCCAGCTGTCAGTACTATTTGTCTTCCATCTGTTAGTTCTGCCACATTATCAGCTGGTGAATGGCCTCCGGCTGGAACAACAGTAAGTATTCAACTCTCTATTAATATGAAATCGTACAAGAATCTAGGTGGTGGCCGTGGGTTGGGGCCGATTGAGTGAAGGTGGATCCATATCATCGACACTTCAGCAAGTGACAATGCAAACGGTTGATCGTCAATCATCAACATGTACTTCTGTAACCAGAGATTCGTCGCTTCAACTTTGCGCCGCTTCCACATGCAAAGGCAAATGCTCTTTATTTTTCTTGATCCACCTGGAGTTAGACTTTCTTCTTTTCTTTATTTTAGATACGTGCCAAGGCGATTCCGGTGGTCCTCTGATGGCATTCACATCGAACAATCAGTGGGTCCTAGTCGGTGCGACAAGTAGTGGCATTGGTTGCGCTCAAGCCAATTATGCTGGTAGTTATACGCGTGTAGCGGCATATCAGTCTTGGATATCCACGACTACCGTTGGTCAATATACCAGTTCAACATCATCAAGTTTGATCTCGTCAACAACAGAAATCGATTTAACGGCCAAATGTGCAGCACCTGCTCACTTTCGATCGACTCTATCCCTTGAACTGGTTTCCGCTCTATTATTTCTTTATATCATAGAATCACTCCGTAATCAATTGACATGATGTACTCTTCTCAGAAACATTGCCCGGTGATGATTAGTTGTCTCTTCTTTTGTTCAAACGATTCGATCTATTTCAATGCAAAGCCCACAAAAAATACAGTAATCAATAAAAATTATGCAGGCTTGTTTGATTTGTCCAAATTTACTGATGCTTATTTGTTCTCATTTGTTCCCAGTATCGACAAGACTTTGTTCCTTATGAAAGACGTCCTTATCAATGTTTTTTTCACACTAAACTGGTTTGATACCTTTTTTATGCGTCTCACAGGATAGCCATTTTTAGTTGTTCATTGCGACGCAGATATTTCGGCTGAGCAACAATATTGAACACTGTTGATGAAACAAATAATTCGAGTTTTTCAGCAAAACTCTATTCTTGCAGATGTCGTTGCCGCTGTCAAAAACATTTTCACATATGTATTATGAACCAATAGCAAATGAATTCTTTTACAGAGGCAAAGAGTTTCGTTATTCATTGCTCTCTTTTGCCTTCTCTTCACATGTGGTTGAAAAGTGCGTGCATTGTCGTAGATTCGAGTAACTTATGCGTCCTTGCAATGTTGATGGCAACTCTATCTAGAATAGTTGTTGTCTATGTTTAATAGATTTTGCCATTGTGATCCTTATATATGAGCATCGATTTTAACAACACAAGGGGATATAATTGCGATGATTTGTATACAATCAAACAAAGTTGAGTGAAATTATTGATGATTAGCTCTATTTTCTTCTCAATACATATGCCAGCGATAAACTGACAAATTTATAATACGCAATTCGATGCGACCGAGCCGTCAAGATCAAGATTAGTCAAAAAGTAAGAGAAGTAGATAAGTGTGACAGGGAGAAGAAGAGCCTATTTCCTAACACATCCACCCATACCCACCCTTCATTGATTTTTTTATTCTTCCATCAAGTTATTGTCAAAAAAATTTTGTTGTAGTGCTTAATCAAATTATGATTTGGAGACTGATTTTGTTAGATCAGCATGTCGTTGAACAGAATTAAAACTCGTATGAAAACGATTCATGAAGGCATCATCTATCATTCACAAAGAATCATCTCTTTCTATTCCGCTAGTAATGAAATGCAGATCCAAAGAGCGTATCGTTTGGTAAGTAGATGATTCGATCAACGTTTGCATGTATTGGACACCAGTCAGTAGAAACCACTGAACAGCAATCCTGAAAGTAAGGTCAGACAGAAACGACCACTGTTTCGAGCGGTTTACGATATCATTCTACAATAGAAAAACATGTGTCATTTGCTATTGTTTCTGCATATCACAGATATCAATAAGCACATTACGATTAAGCTCGTGTAATAATGCTTGCAAGCGAAAGATATGATAAAAATAGATCTGAAACGAATGATATTTCCGATTTGATACTTATTTCACAGTTGCTAACGCACCATTTTACATCATTTGTGCTGATACTATTATACCCTAGATGAACGGTTCAAACTCATTGATGAATATTCATTGTTGACTGAACTATTCAATATGATTTGTCATGCTTGATATTTTTGACTTAGTTATATTGACATAGAGCATTTTACCTGAAAAAAGTTTTGAACAGACAGCAGCAAGCATAATTACTCTGCTTTGTTTATGTATGAAGTCTGAAGATATCTGTTATATATACACTATCACCAGTATACCAAGAAGAAAAGCATTCTGATTGATCGTACCACATTGGGATGCGTGGATGAGAAGCTAATTGCATCTGTCAGAATGTCATCAGTAGTGTTGTCAAATAAATTTCGGAAAGTGTTTGGTTGCAAAGATCTGATCTGCGTAATCAATATCAATCGTTTTGCCAAAATCTAAGATTCTAGCTTCATTTAGGATTGAATGCTACATTGAGCTACATTGAACCACATTGAGTTAAATGAGATGATTTCTATATATCGTTCATATCGAATCATTAGACTATTCATCTGTGTTAAAAAGAACAATTATACACTTTGTGAATAACAATAACCATAACTTGAAATATAAATCTACGTACTTGAGTAATATTCATGGCAATCAATCTCCAAGAACTCAACCTGTCTAAGTCTGCTATTTCAAAATGGGTTGAATCTCTTAGATATTGATGCCTTAACGATGTTGGTCTATGAAATCGATCAATCAAATCTCCTTTGTTCAAAGAAATAGAATAATCAAGTAAATAAAGATTATTTTTATGGTAACGAAATAACCTACGTTAACATTCAATGTTATCACAGCCGATCGATAGCATCCCAAAATCGATACTTCCAGTATCAAATAACATTTTGACACATTGTGCTTGTGTTCTAATTCATATCTGTCTTAGCCATATTAGCTATGAGAAATTTCAAAAACAAGCGTTCAAGTTGGTTGTAGGTTGGTGTAAGTACATTTTGACAACCATGTAAAAAAAATGACAAAAAAAATCTGATTTTATTCGATTATTTTCGGATTAGAAATCGATTAAAATGGTACGATTTCAACCAGATTTTCTAATTTTAAACGCCTTTAATCGATTTTAACCAATTTTAATCTAGTTCATCAACGTTTCGGCTCACACCAATAAGCATGAATTGCTGTCATATGTGGAAATGTATCAAAGATAGGGTTAGCACTACACTTACCATTTGTCGACGTAAGTAGTCAGAAAAAAATCAAGGTTGGATTATCTAAGTAAAAACTTGAGAAAATTGCGTTTTATAGTCATAGCAATTAAAATTGATTAAAAAGCAGAAAATCTGATCAAATTGAAGTCAAATCAGATCCTTTTGTCGTTTTTCTACGTAGGTAGTTAGCCAAATTTTGATCGATCATTTGACTCATTTCTTTTCTTAATGTGGATTTGGAAACGATAGTAACTGTCGTACCTGTAAGAACAAAGAATAGATCGTCGAAATATAATTTCAATATCAATTTATTTGTGGATATATTGTAGTACTATACATGAGTCAGATAACTCTTAAAAGTCCAGCTCCTGGAAATACGCTCTCTTAAATACAGTGTTTATGATAAAGTCAACATTCCTTTCCATGCTTTCCAGCGCTTTTTTTTGGTTATTTATGACAGGATATTGACTCACTCATTTGAATCTTTAGAGATATCAAAGAGTAGCTCATTTTCAAAAACGATAGCCATATTTTTTTTCTTACAGTAAAATATAGAAAAGGACACGTTCAATCACAGAAATGAACAAAATATCAACGATACGCACTTATGACAACAACAGATTGTATGGATCAAACTTCTATCAACTTGAAAATGTCAGAACTATAAACATGATGAATATGAGAAGTGATTATATTGAAGCTGTTTTATACATTAAGTGAATCTACGACCAGACTGTCGATGTCACTCATACGAAAACCACAGTTGATGTTGTGAATTATTGATTCGAGACTGATTTGAGAGAGATAGTAGCATAAATCCTCCTTCATAAACCTGACAGCAGTTACTACGCCTTTCCTTTATCATTGTCGTCGTCACCGTCACCGTCTCTTCTTCTTCGTTCTGATCTAATAGTTTATGTTTCAAATCGTAGCTTTATGAAAGAAATCATAGTTATTTTGGAATATAACTTTCGCTCAATAATTTTTGACTATAATGTCCCATCCTACATGGCCTGTAGATATAGGACTGTGTCGTCAATGTTCTTTTGTGTACCGATCGTGCAAGCGACAAGAAGAGTCGTTTTTCTGTGATAGTAGTACCAAAATCTGGTTAATGATTAGTATTATTTTATGATATGCCGAAATTAAAGTCCTTATGCTGCGTCCGAAAACACGATAAATATCTCATGTTGAATAAGGAAGTACTACATAATTACTTTTTACTATTGTGACTGGATAAGCACATACATAAGATAAAATAGAAAAAAATCAGCAATTTTATTTCTACTATTTATCGTTTAATCCTTTGAAGCCAGATTTATTTTTAGAACAAATAAAGTAAAAATATATTGCTAATACGGTATACTTCAAAAATTATTGATGATCATAATCCTTGCGCTTAGACTTGATTTAAATATGCAATACTGTTATTTAGTGGTATGTATGTCAGAACACAACAAATATTGAAAAAACCTTTTTTTTACTATATTTCGACTTCGCCTTCTACCCAGATTTTGAAAATATAAATCCATGAGCTTCGCTGTCAAAGACTTAATAAAGACGACGACGTTATTTTGAGAGCCGTTTGACTTCTTACTCAATAAACGCAAGAATTTTTCGAGAACCTAGTGTGTGAAGGAAGCTATGAAATCTCCTTTATCATTCTCAATCAACATTCTAGGGTGATCATCAACACTATGGATTACTTAAATATGCAACAATCGTCTTTATAGACCTGACTATGTACTCACTTAATCTTCACAATATCATCTTTATGTGATATTTGCATTGGTTAATACTTTTTTCCTTTTGTTGTATCTATCATTTACTTAAAAGAGACATTACTAATTCACTTCTTTTGCTTACTGATTTTGCGGTTCTTGTGCAATTGCATACATACTCAAAAACAAATGGTCTATTCTACATGGTTTCTACTTTGTTTTCTTTCAACAGCGTTTTGCTACAATGAATCTGATCATAACATCCATGGAACAAATGCTTACGGGTGGGAATTTGTACGAGATTTGTTTCGCGAAAATTTTGTTCAACAGGAAGAGTTAGGTGCAGCTGTAGCAGTTTATCACCAAGGTCGTCCAGTTGTGGATCTCAAAGGTGGATGGTTTGACGAGTCAAAAACCAAATTGTATGATGATAATTCACTACAGTTAGTTTTCTCTACTACTAACGGATTAGTAGCTGTCGCTGTTGCACTTTGTGTTCAGAGAGGTTTACTTGACTATTCAGCATTAGTGACAAAATAGTGGCCAGAATATGGACAAAATGGCAACGAGAATACGACAGTGGCCGATATTCTTTCACATCGTGCCGGATTACCGTATACATCATCGCCAATTGATCAATTTAGGAACTGGACAGCTATGATTCACACACTAGAGCAAGAGCAACCATTGTGGCCTCCAAGAATAGTTCATGGTTATCATGCAGTGACCTATGGTTGGCTAGCTGGTGAACTTGTTCGCCGTGTTGATCCAAAAAAAAGATCTTTTGGACAATTTATCAAAGATGAGATTGCAACTCCACTACAAATAGAATTCTATATTGGTCTACCACCCAACATTCAATATCATGTATCTCCGGTAGTTCCTCATCCCGATGTGAAGAACACGCTGAACGAAACCATGAAAGATTTCTTTCAGATATGGAATGATCCACACATACATCAAGCAGATAATACCAGCAGCCATTGAGATATCCAATGCTTGGTCAATCGCACGCCTATATGCATCACTTATCGGTCATCTCGACGACGGGTTCGAACATCAATTGTTAAGTGAAGAGACTATGAAACTTGCAACCAAATCAAACACACCTTTGAATGAGATGGATCTTGTACTACAGCATTATTCTTCGTTCGGCATGGGTTTTCATCGATTTGATCGATTTCTTCTAGAGTTTGGACTAGGCATATTTGGTCATCATGGTAAGAAAGAAAATGATGATTAAATGACGAAGCAATTCTATTTTAATGAATGTTAGGAGCTTGTGGCAGCATTGGTTTTGCGGCACCTTTAAAGAATCTTTCTTTTGCCTATGCTTTAAATCAAATTGGAACAGATACGCAAACGATCATTGATCCACGTATTCAATCCATAGTTGCTCAAATTGCAGCAAAACTAAGTCATCAATTCCAGTAGCAAGATTTCTGTTCGTGAACTTATAATAATAAATATAAATCGCATAATACAATCTGCTCAATAAAATTCATAAATACTTCAAACTTAATTTTACTAAGGAAAGAAAAACAGACATCCATATTCAGAGCTCGTAAGAGTATACTTAGGAATTATTTGTAGAATGTGAAAGTCTTCTTGATATAATCCGATTGACTAAGGTACTTCATTTTTTTATGGTTTAAAAAAGGTGTGCATTGTAGTAATAAATAATTAGACGAGTGGTCTAATTTGATTCTTCATTTCTTTCGAATTGATCATTTCTTTTAATGATCCTGTCTTTGTGCATTTTTATACTAGTTTATCTGTAAAGCTACGCTGCATGCACAGTATTCCCTTAATTCAAAAATAAAAACAAAAATTTATCTATACATGAAGATGAATTTATTTAGATTCTCCTCAAAATAAGACAGCATGTTGTTCATCGCCCACGAAAGGACGATCCATTCGACCATATTTATGCATGATTCCTACAAATTTTCTTGCAAGAAGAAGTTCAAGATGGCTCATTTCATCATTACTTGGCTTCAGAGAAAGACACAGAAGAATTTCAGTTTATTATTCCTAGCATTGTAGTTCTTTTTCTTTTTATATTTCGATGAATAAGCTATTTTTAACGCAATATTTTCTCTCAGAAACATCTTGCTGTAAAGATTTCATCGATTTTTCATATTTATAGTCAAAAGAATAAAAACTTTGTCTTGATATCGATTCTTTATATTATCTTCGATATTTATTTCAGTTGGATTCGCTGTGCTTGTCAATATTTTTCAACAAGACTACACTTCCAAAGCCTTGACAACTTCATCTTTTTGAACCATAGATATAACAAGATCAACAAATATTTCGTCTCTGACACAAGAAACTAACATGAAGTGATATTTTTATATGAGTTTAATCATACACAAGATTTGTGTCCAGAGTAGCACGCATTCAACAGGTTTTCATTATTGAAGCAAGGAAAAAATTCAGAGTTAGAGTAGATGTGAAGATAATGGTAAAGGCAATGGTATTGATTTAAATAAACATTTTCATTTATGTTCGATTTATTCATGAAATCTCTACACTCTTACAATATACTCGCCTCATTATAATATACACAGCATCTTTTTGAAGCTAGATTAGAAAACTAGCTCTTTACAAGACAATACCGTTGCTTGCCTTTCTATTAATCTATTTTAGAATACATGATGACTAGATATTCTTTTAGATATTATCAATAACTACATTTCAAATCAACTATATACCTCGTCAATGCCTATCAAAATAGCAGAATGAAAAAAAAGCATGTCATCGCTTAGTGGGAAAATATGATATTCGTATCTTGTTCATAACTAAATTGTAAATTTTAGTTTAGGGAGCTTCATTCAAAGGCATTTCTCGTCCTTCTACTTTGTATGTATTCAACCTAAAAGTGAAACCTAAAATAGCTTATGGATAGTGAGTTTTTCATTTGTTGTTGTGAACTAATGACCAATGGATGAGTTTTATTCGACGTTTTTACAGTAAAAAACAAGACGTAATTTTATTCTTTTCGTTGTATCCTTCGATTGCTCTACTGTGCCAGGCTGATGAAAGATGACGTAGGAGAAATATTTTTCTATGCATTCAAATATTTGATGAAACTTGACCATTATGTATCAGAAGATTTTGATGAAAAAAATCTTCTCTTATCTGGGAAGAAACAATATTTGTTCACAATATAGGTTACATATAATCAAAATAGGCCGCATTAATCATCTTGAGATTGGAAATTTGAATCAATACAAGAATTCAGCCGTGAGATCATGATATCTTGAATGACAACAATCGAACTCATTTAATATGATCTGATACGAAACAAGAGAATTGCAAAAAGAGATCATTGAAAGAAGTGAGATGCAAACACACAATTTAAGAGTATAAAACAGCTTTTATTTCGCTGAGTACATAGCATTGAAACAAATGGTCCATTTTTATTTTATGATCTTTTAAATTATCTGTCTAACATAATCTGTTCTATTGTTATTTATCCAACTTCTCTCTCGTGATTGGCTAGTTGATCAATAGACAGCGTAGAAGCAAAATGGTGTTGGTGAAGGCCGCTCATAACTTGTCAGCAATTTTCTTTCCATTCATGTAGCTTTTGTCTTTGGCTATGGCCCAACAACAAAATACTTCATAGAACGGGTTAAGAAAATATGTCATATACAAATAGATATGCGTTTGAATATTAAAAAATTTTACTTAAATTTACTAAATCAATACGAAGAATGATATAAGAATCGTCGTTAGACGCGATATGCTCAATGTCAGTCTTATTCGAAACAGTCATTGGACGAGTACAAGTACAGCAAGTACCAGTAAAACTGAAGATACTTAAAAAATGTACTTTGTACTTTACTTAAATACTTTTTACTTGAGTAAATTTCAGTCAGTAGCGGTACTGTACTGAATTGTACTCAAGTACAGTATTTAAGTACATCAGAGTACTTAAAGCCATAATGTAGCGTAGCTGTACATTTAACACATTGATATCGATGTTAGGATGTGTGATACACACCTAACGTCTATAACTTAGCGACATATTAAGGAAAATGTATATGAATAATCATTATCACGATATTTCTATCTCCATTGTCATAAAACAGCCTCGGCATAAATGATCAACATTGATAACCAAGGAAAATTCAAAAGACATGAATTTATAGTGTGTAGGTTTAAATATTATGAATATTATGTAGACATTTCTGAGAATGCAAAGTAGTAATATATTAGAATATGTTGATATCCGGCTAAAGTACATTTTGTACTTAAATACTGGTACTTCAGTAAATGAGTACAAAGTTTTGTACTTCAGTAAAATCTTTCAGTACAAGTAAATTTACTGATACTGTTAGAATGTACTCAAGTAATCCTGAATACTCAGTAAAAGTATCAAAAATACTCAGTAAAATACTGAGTATCCAATCACTGATTCGAAATAGTCAATGAATTGATAGATTTGTTTTGAGTTGCTTGAAAAAAGCTTGAGAATGATTGTATCATCCATGGCAATCAGTAAAAACTGTTAGTGTATCTGTCTTTGACAAAATTAATGTTAGATATATTCTTTTGTAATTCAATAAATATTCAATTAACTAATTAATAACATCGTACATAAATTTGCACATGTATTTTTCAGACATACATGATAGAATTCATTTGTCAATTAGTTTGTATCAATAAGCATATGTCACTATTTCATGTTCATTTTAAAATTATTGATGGGTTGTTGACAATTTCGCCAACCACATCCATTTATAGTTTTTTTGTACTTGTGAATAGTCTGACTAAAACTGTATGACTTTGAAAAGATCTTGATTATTCGTTTGAAACTCAGAGCCTCAAGATATCTATAACTTTTACCCTGATCTAGAGCTATCAGTTTGGAGATTCACATGAATGATAATGTCGAATTTGATTAACTGTATATTACATTTATTTAATGCTCAAATGAATACAAATTGCAATTCATTCTTTCAGAAGCAATTCAGATTAAATAAATGATGTAGTAAGAATTTAATGAACGTTCTTACGTAAACTTAACATTAGGCACATGTCCAGATGTAATTAGATTCTTCAAGGTGCTGATTTCGATTTGCCAAATATAAGAAAATATAGCGCAAGCATACATGCTAATATGAGTACCAGCATATGTTTGACTGTAAAAAAGTTAACTTCTTCGCAAACTGGCTTCGAAATTGATGAAGACAATATTGTACTTGAATGAAGTTCTAATTTTAGACCGGGTAATGCAGCAGAAACATACTTTCCAGCAGTTTCAAGTTGTTCATCAGTGGGTTGATAAGTGCCTGAGTTGTTCGACAAATGAAGAACCAAACCATCTTCTTGATGTTCCATCCAAGCTTCACCAGCGAAACGCACATCGTCGTCATAACCAGATATGAGGACATGTTTTGATAACGCCCAATCTACAAACTTCAAGCCTGGACTATTATGCATACCAATGATAAAATCACCAGTAATCACTATATTGTAGGGATGCGGCTCGGTTTTAGTGTGAATACTCATCATAGATGCCAAAGGTCCAGGAGCAAAATAGCCATGATCATCCCAGCATGCAGCCATTTGATTTCGTATTGTAACGACAACAGCTCGAGAGAAAAGTACATACTTCTTGATTCGAGTTGTGAAGCTGGGATTTTTCATTGCAAAAGCCCGAAGTGTTTCTGGAAGATATTTATCCACGTCGACTTGCTCTTTATTTGGAATTAATTTAAAGAGTGTATGCGATCCGATAATTTTTCGTATTGTCGCTCCAAAGAAACCAGGATGAGAAATTTCTAAACGTGTCAATGAACCACAGTTGTCAACAACGGTCGGTTTCATTGGAACATATTTTGCTTCGAGTAAGGGCGCTCGAAGATGGCTATTGGATGGCAGACATTCATTAATAACTTTCTTGCATGTACGACCTAAACTAGTGAGTTCTTTTTTCCTTACTTCACTGAAATGTTCTTCGAGTGTTAATCGAGTTGTACGTATGAAATCTAGTGTTAATGATTCACCTCTATATTCCAAACCATTCTCAAAAATTTGTTGAAATAAAGAACGAGCACCGAAATGATTATTCAAGTCAGTATCATCACTGGTAAATCCAGCAGAGCTTAATACACATGCATTGGCATATGCACAAGATACATGTCGATTATTTGAGTGTTTCAACATGGCTTGTCGCAGTGCTGCTAATGCATCTTGGCTTAGATTTCGAAAACGAATGAGAAACCCCGATTGTACACGGCCTTTTGTATCGATTACTGCACTAGTTTGACGCCAAATCATGTATGCAGCGAATTTAACGTATCCATCACCAGTTTCCTTTGGAACAGTCAAATAAACATTCGGTAGTCCAAATCCAAGAAATACTTCATGCTTATTGTCGAACAACTTGTCCAACGAGATAAGTTTGATTCCTTGGAATTCTATTTCATCTACTCCATTTCGTAATATGTTATGTTCAGGATTGCAATGTGTATCTATAATAAGTCTGGTTTTTCTCTGAAAAAGAGGTTCCGGTCGAACTACGGCACCCGCCTGAATTCCTTGCAACAGTAGAAGATTATCATGTGTATAGGCTGTTGATAATACGTCTTGTTTATTATTCAGAGCTTCCATACATTCATGCGTTGCTTCTTTCTCTTCACAACACAACATTATTACGAATCGAGTACCACTGACAATAATTCGTAGTATCAAGGACAGTTGATTTAACGATTTTATTAATTGAGATGTAATATCTTATTTCAGTAGTATCTAGGCAATGGTATTGGTCAATAAGCTTTGTAAGTCAGAATCTGAAATAATTTTAAATTCAATCAGTTGAGAAACTAATAAGTTGAAAATCATTTTGATGGATTGATGAATATCCTGAAAAACTTCATCTGTACATCACTGTTTATATGTTTAAGTGATTGAAGAAATAGAATATATAAAAGGTAAATAGATCACATTCTGTTTATTACAATCCTATGCAAGTAAGATTCATCGCCAATCTAGTATATTACATAAAAAAGAATGAACAGTTGATGAGTCAGTCATTAGAAAAAGTCGAATATTGAAAGAATTATATTGTTAGCTGTCGCTTTTTTAGAAAAATCTAACTTACCAGTAGCGATGAAGAAGCGATTCAGAAACGTTCGTAGTTGTACATCGATCTTTTAGTGTTTTGACATGCATTAATAGTAAGTAAAAAAAAAACTTTCAGTCAAAGTCTTATGCAATCGCGATATGAAACACAATGAAGTCATTTTCGAGCATTATAAAGATAATCTTCAATACGATTACTATAGCTCATGAATATTTTGAAAAACACGCACATGAAAATGTCTCTGGATTGTCGCAGACCATGAAAAACAGGTTGACATGGTTGACACGATTAGTGAAGGGGTAGGAGTCGTCATGTTTTTCGCCACATACTTCAATATTTCTTAACAATCGTGTTTCACAATTTATTTTACAGGCACGTAACAAAAAATAAAATCCGAAGTGACACAAAAAGCTTGTAGAGTTACAGATATCAGCACCTGTTGGAAAATTTGCTCAGACGTGAAAGAAAATTCTGAGTGCTATTAGAATTTAGTAAAAAGCTTTGGAAAATAATAGATGGCTTGAATTTATACAATAATATGTAAAGATTGAGGATGTTAATTTATCTTTACTTTATAAAATAAATATAAATATAATCAGTCTTAGTATTTATAAAATAAAGATACATAAATGCTTCACTTTTAAAGAATAAAGAAAAATACTTATGTAAGAGACAAATAGACGATTACCTAGAAGAACAGCAGGATTGGGTACTCAACATTCTTACTTATTATCAACTATATTATAGATGTGTGATAACGGTCTAAAATCAGGATGATAAATCAAAAAACTTGTGTAAAAAACCTGGTCTATATATAGTTGTTGTATCGCTAATAGTCTAAGTTTTTATAAGCTACTCACAGAAACTGAAAGATTGGGGTTTTCCTTTAAAAAATTCGTTCTTAGTTATTTTATTTATCTTTATCTCTTAACAATAGAGAATTTATTTATATTTTTTTTATAAAGATAAATAAAACATTGATCTATCCTTATAAATATAAATATTTTATTTATATTTATTATTTATTACAAAGAAAATAAAGGTAAACTAATATCTCTAATAAAGATGCTTGATCGATAAAGAGCAAAAAAATTGGAAGATTTCGCAATGTTTGCTATATCGAGGTGTTGTCTCATATCTATTGCTTAAGACAAAATAAAAATTTATCATTATGTACTTGCTATGATATTTTATCGACAGTCGTATGATTATGAGTATTTTCGTGGCGAACACTCATAAGACGAGCATAGTCATACGTATTTATTGTTTGAATAGGTTATTGCTCAACGATGTTGCCATTTTTTTGCTCTTCTCTACTGGCGTCATTCAGAGAAACAGAATATTTATTTTGGCAAGGAAGCAAAATGAATCACAGCTCGACTAATATTATAGTTATTAATGATAAAAATAATAGCAGTTATTCACTGACCCACTCACTTCAGTGACAACTAGGCATTTTTCTTGTTCTATCGTTAGTGCACCTTGACCGTAGTAGAGAACATATGTATTTTCATTTTTGCACGAAGCAGCAGATTGAAAAAACAGAAAAGGAAAGAAAAAAAATACTGTCGTTTACAAATTTCTGTCGGTGGCAGTGTGTCAAGGTCGCTTGAAGATTTTGTAAATCATTTTATTCTTAAATTTTTAACGGTATTCTCCTCTTTTTCAATCCAAAATTTGATTTCGACCTATTGGTATACTGTCAGAGGGGTGAAAAGACGTTTCATTTCTTTCTTCTAATTAATAGCAGATGCACTTCTCACCAGTGACATCTATATCTATTTGGGACCTATGAATAAATTCAAAAGATTTTCATACAATATACTCTAGAACTGAAAAAAAAGAACTCAAATGTAAAAGGTAGATGATTTGCATGGAGATCTTCAATCACTCGACAGTTATTTGAATGATCATGATACCATATGAGCATGACTCCAGCTTTAATCAAAACATTCTTTTATTTTTCTTTTTAAGTCACCCAAACTTCTCTCAGTCGATAAGATTCTACTAGTATCAATTGTTAACTTTACTCAATAGTTGTTTCTCTTCGTTTGATTACTTACAATTAAATACATTATTTTCAAGTTATATAGATTTGGAAATGAGACATATTGAATTCCATACAGTTATCTCTAGTTTTTAAAATTGATTTGTACATTGTCTCATTGCTTCTGTCTATATTTTGAACAAGCTGAAATTTTTACGAATGGTTTTAATCTTTTCATTCATGGATATGTAAATGAAGATTGAATAATGAAGGATAGAGGAAAACGAGCTAATAGAAAAAGGAACTTTTTTTTCTTTGTGAGAGTACATGAACTCTACTATGCAGGCATATAATCAACTTAAACTAATGCTGTGTAGTTTTAATATATATGGCTCAAAACAAAAAGTTCGTGTGAGACTTTTAATATGTACTGTAAATTTGTAGACTATGCAGTGATTCAGACTAATGTTTTTATCTTAAAACCACTTGAATATTTTTATTTGATTTAGTCAGAAAACCTTTTTTCATAGTAAAATAAGTATTAACATTTACAACAACAGAGTGATTTTTTAATGCAGAGTATAAGACAAAGATGCTATGTTAATACAATTTTATTTGAATAAAAGTTTTAGAAAGAAAATAGATGTCATCAATCAAAAACAAAATTAATCATGAACACATGGAATATCTTCCTTTGATTTTGGTATCGGAAATTCTTGTGTATTCGATAAATATTCAGAAAAATATTTTTTAAAATACGTCCAACTTGTTTCACTCGATGTATCTAATTGACAATTTGGTGCATTTTCATAAATTGGAATTCGTTTAATAATTTCATTAAATAAAACTTGATCAATTTGAGTTAAAGAAGAAATTTTCGTTCCTTGAGCTGAAAATACCAATGTTCCATTGTATTGTGTTGACATATTCATCCATGGTAAAATTGGTGAAATTCTTGTCCATGATAAATCCATTTGATTAACTTGTGTTAAACTTTCATTAGTTATCTGATTTAATGTTGTAAAAAATTTAAAATATTCTCCTGCTTGATAAAATTTTTCTTTTGAATAATGTCTTAATGTTTCATTTTCAAATAAAGGATTTGGATAAAATAGATTAACATCAATTGGTAATACTATTTGATTTTCACTTGTTAAATAACCTTTTATTGAAAATTTATCCGTTGACATTGTACTTTGAACAGGATCATTAGCAACATGTATAACAGATACAATATTACCTGTATAAGGATTTGACCATTGATTTAATTTTTCACCAGTATTAACATCAATATATAGTTGTGTTTCTCTTGATGTTAAAATAATTTGATGATTATTTGAATCATTTAAACATCGTGCAATATTCATCCCAATCACATCAAATATATGATCGACTTCCATTTGATATAAATGTAAATAAACACTGCCCTTCCACGTTGTTATTACTTGTTCATTGGGATTTAATGAACAACGTAATCTTAAAAATTCTTTTAAATTAAATATTCTTTCATTTGGATATGTTTGAATAACATTAGAAAAATATAATAACAGTACAAAGTAAATGAAAATAAGAAAAAATGGTTTTTGAAAATTCATTTAACATATAATGAATATTTTTTGTTAGAATCAATGATTAAAGTCAACGACGACAATGAAAAAAAAAACACAATAATAAAATTTAATCAATAAGAACCGAATGTTAAAAGTCAAACGATTGTTATCAATAATGAGAAAAAGAACAAATGATTTGATAATGAAGGATAAGAGTGACGGCCGTTTTGGGATCATTTATAGAATCTATCTGATTTTTCATGGTTTTCAAACGAATTTTTTATATTCGAATATAGGTAAACGAATTCAAGTTGTTTTTATTTCAGTTAATATTAAAAAACAAATTTTTGATTGTATATAGAAGAGATTTTGAATGCATAACCAAAATAATCATCGTAGTTTTATTAAATATTGTCAAACACGACCACTATCTACTAAATCATATTTGATATTGTTTCCTAAAATCAAATTTATGTTTAATAGAAACAATCACTTTTTCTATTAAAATGATCATGAATTTATTTTTTTAGAATTTATTGTGCCATTGGTATTCACAGATACTTTGCGTCATCATAGTCATTCTTTCGCTATGCTCATTTATCTGTCTATTTCTTTCTTTATTCAGTCCCAATATATCTGTAAAAACCATATTTATTGG